TCGCGATCGCGTAGGTTTGCAGAGTCAGCGCTTCACGATCGCGTAGAGTTAATTTTGGCTGTGTTGAAATTGTGCTTCGCGATCGCGTGAGGAAGTTCGCGATCGCGTAGGTTTGCAGAGTCAGCGCTTCACGATCGCGTAGAGTTAATTTTGGCTGTGTTGAAATTGTGCTTCGCGATCGCGTGAGGAAGTTCGCGATCGCGTAGGTTTGCAGAGTCAGCGCTTCACGATCGCGTAGAGTTAATTTTGGCTGTGTTGAAATTGTGCTTCGCGATCGCGTGAGGAAGTTCGCGATCGCGTAGAAGTAATCACTGTTTTTGGGAGATTTTCAGCGAAAATAACGGGGTAAGTGTTCTTAACTCAATATTTGTTAAATTACCCGAATCTATCACTGTTTTTATCATTTAATTGGTGAATTAAATAGGAAAAGTTTGAAAACCCTCTTGGATAGATTTGAGGATTTGAGGGCCGAATCGTTATCGGAATTTAGTAATTTTGTTATGGGTGGACTCGTGGTTGAATGGGCGTTCATATTTCGTAACTTTCGCTGGATTCCGAGATGTCGGCCCCACCGACAAATTTTGAATTAATTTCGGATTTTTATTTAAAAATGTAGTATTTTCTTATGAAATTGATTCCTATAATATTTGCTCAACTATATGGAATTATGTTTTGGTTAGATTCGATGCATTCAGAGTTGGATAATCGAGGGAAGGGCCTGCTAGTAGAATAAATTAGAGTAAGACGAGGTAAGTCTCTTGTCTAATCTTGTGATGGGTAAATTACCCCATAGGTAATTAAATTAATAATTGTTGCTAATTGTGGGAGATACGTACACAAAAGCGTATGCGCAGGTGCGAGCCCAGGCTCCACAGGTGCTGAAATGCCTGGGTAGTGTTTAAAAACGAGGGTTCCGAGATTTTTCTCATTTTGGACATTTTGAGCTCGGTTTTGGCGATTCATGAGAGGGATTTCGAAGGATAACTTGAGGTAAGTCACTTGTAATCATTGTCAGTCAATACTATTAGATTATCATTAAGTATTTTGACTAGATTACATATTTATGAAGTGAAATTAGAGAATTTGGGCCTAGGGATTTCAAAATAAGAATTTGAGATTTGGAGGTCGAGTTGATGTCGGAATTTGGTAAAATTTGTATGGTTTCACTCGTGATTGAATGATCATTCATATTTTGTAACTATGGTCAGGTTTCGAGACGTGGGCCCCACGAGCGATTTTAATAAAATTTCAGATTTTATTGGAAAATTAGTATTTTTCATATGGAATTAATTACTATAATTTGTATTGACTGAATCGAATTATTTGTGACTATATCCGAGAATTTCGGAGACCAATTCATGAGGCAATAGCATAGCAGAGTAAGAAATTATGCGGTTTGAGGTAAGTAACACTTCTAAACTTGGTTCTGAGGGTATGAATTCCTGAATCACGTGTTGTATGAATTGTTTGGAGATATCGCACATGCTAGGTGACAGGCGTGTGGGCGTTCATCATAGGAATTATGACTTAATTGATTCTGTGGAGTTGCATAATTAAATAAATATCATTATCCGCATATCCTCCACGTGTTAGAGAAGTTGAGCTGTGACTCATATTAAAGATAATGTTTAAGCTACACGCCGATATATTTTGGGACCTACATGAGTCGTATTGCTGTTGAACTATTTGTTAAAAATATAATTTTATACTTTGTCACATCTGTCACTTGCATGTCATATCTCAGTATATGTTGTCATCTATCGATACATCATATCATCATGTGGGGTTGATTTTCATATCATTGAGAGGCCGAGAGACTGGAGATTTTTAGTGATATTATGGAATCGGGCTACACGCTGCAGTATGTTTATTTATTTATGGTTGTATCTGGCTATTATAGCGCTTGGGCTTAAGGAGACCTTCCGGAGTCTGCAACCCCCACAGTGAGTGCAGTTGATATATATATATATTTGGAATGGATCTTCCGTGGTCATGGATATTGTCATAGATATATATAGGCATAGAGATGTATTTTCCTCATGCCATTTGAAAATGAAACATCCTATCTGTTGTTGAAAGGTTTTTGGGAAAAATCACAGTTTTCCAAAACGTACTCATATTTTGGTGATTTCGGTAAAAGATTTGGGTTTTCATTGATATACTTGAAAAGTAGGTCTATTGTTCTGGAACTGTGAATGAGCTGAGCATTTTATCTCTGAGCCACTTCTTTTATTACTTCTATTATGTTGTTATGAACTGTTGTTGGCTATTGGTGTTGGACCTTGACCTTTGTTCTAGCTCGTCACTACTTTCAACCTAAGGTTAGGTGTGTTACTTATTGAGTACATGAGATCGGTTGTACTCATACTACACTTCTGCACCTTGCGTGCAGATATTGGATGTTGATATTGCTGTGATCGACGGGAGCTGGATTTGAAGATGTACTTGTATTCCGGTCATAGTTGCCTCTTGTTCATGGTAGCCTTAGATTTATAAAAATCTATTTATGTACATTTCGAACAAATGATGTATTTATTTCATACCAGCTTGTAAATTCTAATCTTAGAAGCTCATGGTTTATATTACCAGTCCTTGGGGAGTGTATTAGAGTCAGTTAAATATTAATTGGATCGGATTATTGTCATTTGGCTTACCTAGCGGGTGAGGTTAGGTGCCATCATGGCTATTTGGATTTTTTATCATGACACAAAGTAATGGTCTTCTCGCCGTTTTCCGTTCCACTATCTACTTTATTTATCTTCCCATAACATTGTAGGAATGTATTCAGTCTTTGCTTTACAACATCTGCATTTTCTGTGATGTTTTGTTCATCTTGTTTTTGGTTATCAAAGCCTTTTTCAGTAAGAAAATGGTAGGATTTGTTTGAAAAGTCCATTGTCCCAATATACATCAGTATTGTAACATTACAAATCTACCACTAGCGATGAGAAAGTGAAATTAGATTGGGATATAGTTAGGGACGTAACTAGGTTATAGAAAGGGGGTTCAATTGAATTCCCTTAACCAAAAAATTATATTGTGCAGCAAACATGATTTGTTTTATTTACATATACATTGTTGAATCCTCTTGATCTCATCTTTTCAGGCATGTCTAGAAAAGTAAAAGAACTCATGCCGGAAGGACCACTACCACCACAGGAGCTGCTGGCATCGTTGTTAATTAAGTATAAAATCACTCCGACGTCTGTCGGAACCGCAACCTCAGCAATTCTCAGGGTATGCCGGTTTAATCTGTGAAGGCTATAATGAACTAGCGCACAAGCTGTGCCAAGGGCCAAATTCTCCATATCTGCCATAAACGCATACAAAAATTCCTAAAACAAGATATATATTATAAATATCTATTTGAATTGTCCAAATATGACCAAACTTAAAAGAGCAGAAAATTAGGAACATGTCCCTCCCAGAGTAAATGTAACTAACTTCTACAATCTAAAAGGTAAAAGTAGCCAAACAACCCTTCTCGACCATATGTCGAGCTTTTAGAAAGGAAATAACATGATTAGATGTGCTGGCAGACGAACCCTTCCACTCCAACCTAGGAAATTCTGGCATTGCCAAAGTAACAGTCTTAGAATGGCAATTTAGGACGACATGATATGGGGATAGCCAGTCCATGCCTAGGATAATCTCGAAGTCGTTCATATCAAGTAGCACAAGATCTGCTCTAGTCTCATAATCACAGAATGTAACAACATAGGACCGATAAATCTGATCCACAACAACAGAATCACCCACAGGAGTAGACACATAAACAGGAGTACTCAAGGACTCTCGAAAAACACCCAGGAAATGAGAAAATAGAGATGACACATATGAATACATAGATCCTAGATCAAATAATATGGAGGCATCTTTGTCGTAGGAAGAAATAATACATGTAATCACTGCATCTGAGCCTCTGCATCTGGTCTGGCCGGAAAAGCATAGAACCGAGCCGGAGCGCCAATTGGCTGGCCTCCGCCTGGATGGCCTCCACCTGGCTGGCCTCCACCTCTAGGACGGCCCATACCCACTTGCCCTCCACCTCTTAGTGGTCGAATGACTGGTGGAGAAACTGGTGCGGTAATCATAGGCTGCTAACCCTGTTGCACTGGTCTACCCAGAAGCATGGGGCAGAATCTCCGTATGTGACTGAAATCCCCGCAGTCGTAACAACCTCTCGGTGCGATGGGCTGCTGACTAGAAGTTTGGCCCTGGTGACCTGAATACCCATTGGAAGAACCCTGAATAGCTGGTGGGCGATAAGAACTTTCTGGCATAACACTGAAATAAGGTCGCACTGGGGCACCCCGAGGAGGTGGTGGTGCTGGATATGTGGGCTTGCTGGACTACCCTCTCGCGAATTGACCTCTACCCTTAGACGGAGTACCTCTGAACTCTCAAGAATATCTAAACCGCTTATCCCTCATAACTTGCTCTCTGCTACACTGACGCACACCCTCAATCCTTCGGGCTATCTCCACAACCAACTCATAAGAAGTCCCCATCTCAACCTCTTGATCTAGTGGCCTGAATGCCGGTATGTAAACCCGCAACAAACCTCTGCATTCTCTCCGCATCAGTAGGGAGTATCATAAGTGCATGGCGAGATAACTCAGAGAACCTCGCCTCATAATCGGTCACTGACATCTGACCCTGCTGGAGCTGCTCAAATTGAAACTGCAGCTCTTCCCTCTGGGAGGGTGGAATATACCTGTCCAGAAAAATATGAGTGAACCTGTCCCAAGTCATGGGAGGAGAATCTGCTGGTCTGCCAAGAAGATAAGACTTCCACCATCTACGGGCTTTGCCATCCAGCTGAAAAGTAGCAAAGTCTACCCCATGAGACTCCAATATCCTCATGCTGTGAAGTTTGTCCCTGCACCGATTAATGAAATCTTGGGGATCCTCATGTCATTTGCCCCCAAAGATAGGAGGATATAGTCTAGTCCATCTGTCCAATAGCTTTTGCGGCTCGGCGGCCGCAGCTGGTCTGGGCTCAGGTGTTGCTGCTGCCACTGGCTGGACTCCACCCACGAGTAGTGCACCCTGGGTCTGATATACAATAGTTGCCTACCCATGAGCCTGTGCGTTAGGGGTCTAAGCTCCCCTCCCCCACTTGAGATGTGGCTGGGTTTGCTGGAAATAAACCGGCCTGAGTCATAGTGTCCATGAATTGCAGCATACGGCCCATGACCTCCTGGAATCCCGGTGCAGATGTGAAATCCACCGGAGCTGGCTCTGCCACGGGCACCTCACCGTGTTCCTCAATGATAGGATCCTCTTCTGGACCCACTGGTGGCATAAATGGAACAATTCTTGGACGTCCTCGTCCTCTACCACGGGCTGGAGCCCTCCCTCGACCTCTGCCTTGGCCTCTAGCAACATGGGGAGTAGCTCTTCCCTGGTCTGGAACCTCATTAGAGCGCGTCCTCACCATCTGTGAGAGAATGAGAGAAAGATGTTTAGTTCTACATCAACTGCACGATGGGAGATGAAGAAAGGTAGTTTTCCTAACACCCTATAGTCTCTCGAAGATAAGTACAGACGTCTCCGTACCGATCCGCAAGACTCTATTAGGCCTGTTCATAACTTGTGAGACATACGTGAACCTAGTGCTCTGATACCATGTTGTCATGCCCAATTCACCTATAGGTCGTGATGACTCCCAACATCCCAGCTAAGCAAGCCAACTAATGATTTAAACATATATTCAATTCTTTAAAAATTATCTGAGTAATCAAACTCTTCGAAATTTCAAAATTTAAGAAAGATATGAGAAAATAAGATAAATTAAAACCCAAGTAAAATAATTAAATCCACAAATTCTACTAGTGTGTGCCAAGACCTGGTGTCACAAGTGTATGAGCATCTAGTAGATTATACAAAATTTTAATACTGTCTGAAATAAAATAGACAATACAAATACAAGAAGAGGCACTAGTTGCTGCAGAACGGCTCGAAAAGACAACTCACCACTAAACCTCTAGATAACGTGGGTGCGCGCCGATAGGTCCTCCGGTAGTACCTGTCTCAGGTCCTGCACAAAAAGTGCAGCAAGCGTAGCAAGAGTACGTAAACAACGTGTACCCAGTAAGTATCAAGCCTAATCTCGAAGAAGTAGTGACGAGAGGTCGACTTTGACACTTACTATGGGTCAATAATATTACAATAGAATATATTGAATTAAACATGATTCTTAGGTGAACAAAAATATTTTTTCTTAACAAGCAGAAATAATTAATTCCTTAAAATTCAATAACATCCAATTTATCAATTAGCTTCGCATGCTGCAATTAAAATATCAAGGTATCGTGTAATTATTATTATTAGGCATGATTTCTACCGAGGTCGTAGGCCCGATCCAGAGTGTCGTGTACACTGCCGAGGGACGTGCGACATGATCAATAGATGCATCTATACTGCCAAGGCGTTCGACCCGCTCCACAAGAAAGGAGGACATTTTCTTATGAACCTCCGGAATGAGAATTTATTAATAATATTAACACATAGGATGTTCAATTTCTATTAACAATTAAATAATTTACACAAAAATCAAGGATATGAAGTTTCAATCTTTAACTATTTCCTCTAACAATTTACAATACAATTCCATTAATTTAATTAAATAAAGGATGCAATTATCACAAAAAATTCATGATTTGAGTCCTAAACTACCCGGACAAAGCATAATTAGTAGCTACGTACGGACTCTCGTCACCTCGTGCGTACGTAGACCCCCACAATTAGCAAGAATTATTGATTCAAATCATCTATGGGGTAAATTCCCTCTTACAAGGTTAGACAAGAGACTTACTTTGTCTCAAAGCCCACTTTTCGATCACAATGTGGCGTCAAAAATCCCAATTCGGTGCAAAAAAATTTGAAACTATCCAAATGTTATATAAAATAATTAATACATGCTCAATAATTTGAAATTAGACTGTTAAATAAATTATCCGACCAAAATAGTAAAATTCCTAAAATTCACCCCGGGCCTACGTGCCCAGATTCCGAAAATTTTCGGAGGAAAACGTTACCCATAATCTCAAGAACTCAAATATAAAATTTCCATCCAAATCTATGTATTTAACTGAAAGTGTGTAGAATTAACTTACCTTCAATTTCTTAGTTGAAATCCCCTTTCAAAAAGCTCCAAAATCGCCCAAGAATGGAGAGAAATAGGCAAAAATGGCTGTTTTTCCGTTCTTTAAGGGTTCTTCCAAACAGCCCTTTCGCATCTACGACTCGCAAGCCGCTTCTGCGGCTCCATATCTGCGGAAAATGCATTGCAGATATGGCTTCCCCCTAAGCCGGCCCCGTTTGCTTCTCCGCCTTGTACATTGTATCTTCGATGCGCTTTTGCGGTTGTACCTGCGCATCTGCGCCCAGTCCACTTATGCGGTGCTTTTCACACACCTGCGGGCTCGCACATGTGGCTGGCTAAGCGCAGATGCAGTTGCAGCAGAAGCTGGAAGCTTCAGCTGTTGCTCCAAGGTCCAAAATCAATCCGAGCCTCGTTCGATTTAACACACGGGGCCCCCGGGGCCCCGCCCGAACATACCAACAAGTTTGAAATCATAAAACGGACTCGCTCAAGCCCTCAAAACGTGTAAAACAACATCAAAACTAAGAATCATACCTCAAACCAAATTGATTCAACTTAAAAATTTCAAATTCTTCAAACTTACTCCGAACATGCCAAAATATACTTATACTACTCGGAATGACACCAAATTTTGTATGCAAGTCTTAAATCACCATACGGAGTTATTCCTAGGCTCGAAATTCTAAACAGACTTCAATTACTCCAAAACCTACTCCAAACCAAATTTAAAGAACATTAGACCTTCAAATAGTTGATTTTCACTATTAAACTCCGAAACGTTCCTGGGTTGTCCAAACCTCGATTCGAACATACGCCCAAGTCCAAAATAATCATACGAACCTATTAGAACCGTCAAATTCCGATTCCGGAGTCGTTTACTAAAAATGTTGACCACTACAAAAAAATAGCGTTTAGCGACGGACATATTCCGTCGCTATACATGTTATATTCCGTTGCTAAAAGAGTTTAGCGAGGAATTCGCGACGGATTCAAGTTGGTCACTAAAATGCTCGTAGCGAAGCTCATAGCGACGAAAAATGCAAAACCGTCGCAAACCTAGCGACGGATTAGCGATGCAATATATCCGTAGCCAAGTTTAGCGACCGAAATATTTGTCGTTATTTTGCTTTGTGTAGTCGCTATTTTGACTAATTTTGTCGCTACACTTCATAACAAAATTCGTCGTTTGTTCTTATTAGCAACGAAATAATCCGTCGCTAGTTCTTACTGGTTTCAGTGATAAAAATCTTTTCTCGCCAATCTGTCGCAATATTTATTTAAAAAATTTTATTTATTTATTATTTTAAATGTATCATGTTCAAGCACATTACATCAATGTTATTAAATACACTTAATTAAAAGTGTCTGATATTAATATAAATAAACATTCAACAAGGTCCAAAATTTATAGCATAATGCATATAATTGTATCGTTAAGTACAAAACATCCACAAGTACCAACAATAAAGTTTAAACAAAATAGGCTAACTATGTGAGGCCGGAGAGTCATGGTCATCGTCAGAACCCAATGCATGAACCTCATCAATGTTAGCAGCAATGGAAGAGATAGAAACTATAGGTGCCACATATGATGGGTGGTTGGTAAGATTAATATTTGGCTGATGCAAGGGTAAAGAAACTAATTCGCGTACCTGCTCAATGATTACAGGAACTATATGATCTGTCACCATAAGAATCAATCGTGTCACTAACTTATCCATATTCCTTATCAGTGTTGATTGAGCATTTGAAGGTGTTGCTGAGGATGTTGCATCAGATCCAAAAGAGTCATGAAGATTCGGCTCATAATAGCATTTTTCTTGAGATCCAAGACCATATACTCTTCTTTTCATTTCTCCTTCCGCAGCTTCGTAATATGCTTTACACTAATCAATATCAGATTGACTGTGTGTTTGCTGCTGTAATATTTCTTGATAGTTTTCCTGCAGAAGAGTTAATAATTAGTGAAGTTGAAATATTAAAGAATATTGAGTATTCAATTTACAAAATGAAAAAAAGATATGAAAGTAAAGTCAATAAAATTATTTAAAAAGTTGACTTACATGTACAATTCGGGATTTCTCACCAACAAATAATTTTTCATCACTACCATGTGTATGAATGTGCAAATGTATCTCACTTGGTGTTGGATCTCGACCCTTTTTAATAGCATATAAAAAATATATTCAATTCAAAATATTGGCAAAAAGTCGTTTGTATAAAAATGATATTGAAAAATAACATAGAGAAAAGGAAGCAACTTAAGTAGAACAGAGAAACTAAAAACTAAACAAGTTCCTACCTTCAAAATCTTGTTAGTTTAAGGAAGCACCTGGAAAGAATATTTTAATTTGTTTCTTGAACTTCCATGTAAATTAAAGACTCTTCAAAGCTCATTAGTGACATGGCTAGCTTTTGATTGCAGAGAAGTCTCCAAACTGGTTTTGAAGCTCCCAATCTCAATTTCCACCTCCGAAATCAACTCCAATGTGGGCAAAGTATTTAGAGCAAGACAACGTAAAAGATATATAGCTTTTTTCTTTCCACTATGTGATGATAATAACATCAAATTGACAAAGATAGCAGGGAGAGAAGCTTAAGGTTCTTATTGGCTCAGTTGGATCCGGAACAATAAGGTGCCTTTTGTTAAAGAACTTCTCAACTTTCTAAACTAGCATTATAACTTGTCAAACACGATACTATGGACTTCAGCAACCACTCGTGTTGCTTCACTTTATGTTGCTGCTGATACTTATGTCATGAATTCTCAGGTGAGCCTTCACTACTCTAACTTAATTACGGCTCAGTTTCAGGAAATGTAGAATGACAAAGCTTTTTTTAGATATTAATATTAAAGAGTTTAACATGGAAGTTTATGTAACAGTGAAAAGGTGACAAGTAAGGAATATAGTTTCTTCTTTTGGAAAAAAGTGCAAGTGAACTAGATAGATGAAAAAGAAAAATAGAATATAGGTCAAGTAAGTAGACATGGATGGCGTAAAAAAGAATATCATAAGATATTATTATCCAAGAAAATACATCAGCCTAGGTGCACTCTTGTAAACAAAAAGCTCAACTTGAGTCAAAACATATAATTTTAAAGCAGAATAAAAACTTGAGTCCTAACGTTTCCTCCTATTTAATTTTAAAAGGAATGGACATAGCTTTCTTATTCCTGTTTTCGTAACTTTTTTCTTAAATCCTAACTTAATCATAAAAATGTTGATTGATACCAAAATCCAATGAGGTTACTTGCTACAAATCCTTGCCATAAATGGTCGAAACCAAATATGGTCTCAATTAGCTTATCCAATCACATCAGACATGAACATCACTATAATAGAACATGAAACAATCCGAATAAGAGCAAAGAGAAATAAACTATAAGGAACTCGCCTTTCTTCATAAAACAATCAGTTGTGAAGTTTTTGTTCTTTAGCTGAGTGTTTACATCAGCTAAAAGGAACTCGCCTTTCTTCACACTAGATGAGGTAATGGCCTAAATAGTGAGATAGAACAACAATACATTTATTTATGTACCCACTGGAGCAGTATCAAGAAACAATAATCCATGGATGAATAAAGCAATGCAAACAATATACGCATCAGGAAACAGTAAAGTAATTGGGATCTCTAATGTGTTCATAATACATTTAACATGTAAATGACTTGTACTGAAACATTTTAAAATGAGTGTTGTAGCAGGATGTTGAAGACTTGTAGCATAATAGGAAACAAATGAGAGGTCATTAATGCATTCCAAAAATTTCTTTTGGCAGGACAAATAAGTATCAATTTATATAATTTTATGGCCCACGAAAGCAAATTGTAATGATGAAAGAGAATTAATCAATGTCTCTATTTAAATACATGTTGTCACAAGCTTCTCTAATATAACTGGCAGCTAAATCAACAGTACATGTTGATCCTTCCTTTTGGAAAGAATTAGTACCTTAGATCATTTTCAAGATTGCATAACTGGAAAATAACAAGAAATCATAAAATAATTGGTCAAACTACAAACAGAAAATGACAATCAAGTAGATAAACTTTTTTTACTTTTGAGATTAATAATAGTCAACTAGATGAACTTTAACCATTATTTAATAATAGTACTCATTGTAGCAATACCGTCGAGATAGCTAACAAAGAATTTCAAAGGGCGAATTCGTCTTTCACTTCACTTAAAAATCCAAAAGGAATATTTCAAAAAAGTTGCATTAAATCTCATCATGTTTATGAGATAAAGCATAATAATTTCAGATACAATATCTAACTTGAAAGAGACTAGAGTAAATGTGTATCAACCAGCCATTGAAGCATGAAAATCATATCAATTTAATCTACAATAATCAGAACAATAAAAGATTACAATAAAAAATAAGTAAACACAAGCCATGAATAGAAGCTCAAATAATAACCCGACAATATAAAGCACCTTTTAACACCACATTCAATGAAAGACATAAAATTGAAGCAAACTTACAGCAAAGGTAGAACCAAATCAAGAAAATAGGAGGAAGTATAAATTCACCTGCTATATATCACATAGCCTAAATCTAACTTAGAATTGAACTAAGATCTAAATTAACAAACAGAATACCAGATCCAGAAGATTAAAGCAGCATTATTACCTTATCCAAAAAAAACAGCATCGTTAAAAGTAAAAAATTGCTGTCAAATTCAACAAAATTGCTAGAACCAAAAAGTATTTCAACACAGCCATACAACAACTACAACTCAATCCTAAATAGCTGGGGTCCACTATGTAATCCTCCAAATAAAAAGATTAGTAAAGAGAATACTAGATCTAGAGGGTTAAAGTAGTATTCAAAGCAGCCATCAAATTCTATACAAAGAGGTAGAACTAAAGTGTATATAAAATCAAAATACAGTGGAAAAAAGTAATCTTGAACTCACTAAAAGACTCATTTGAAGAAACCACGCAAACCCATTTGATGGCATGTTCAAAGAAACCAGGAAAAGCTATGAACCAGCAAAATTAGAAAACAAAATATGGATATCTATGTTCCCATTGTATATGAGCCTTAGATTCACGCCCAATTTGTTGTATTGGAAGCAAGTATCTCACATTATTGAAGATGAGAGAAAGTGGGCGACTTTGATAGAGAGAGAGAATATGAGTTCGTAAGCAAATTTGTGCCCTAGATAAACTTTAACTTTAAAAAGACACAGCGACGGAACTAGCTACGGAAATAATCTTGTCGCTAATAATAACTTGGGCAAAATTATTTTTACGAATCTAGCGACAGAATTTTTGTCGCAATTAAATTTGTAATGTTTCGATAAGTAAAATAAACGCAGCGACAAAGTTTTTTGTCGTTAAATTCGTCGCTATTTTTTAATAATTTTTGTCGCCCCACTTTCGTCGCTAATTTTGTAGGTAAATAAAGGCGCCCATTTTTAGCGACGGATGTAAAGTTTTGTCGCTAATCCATCGCTATATTTGATAGTAAATCTTTTGTAGCTTATTTAGCTACGAAATATGTCTTGTCGCTAAACGATGTTTTTTTGTAGTGGACCGAAGTCAAACTTTACACTTAAAGCCCAACTTAAGGAACCAATTATTCCGATTTCAACCCGAACACTTCCAAATCTCGAACCAACCATCCCCGCAAGTCATAAATTAATAAAAGCACATACGGAGAGTTTTATTTAGGGGAACGGGGTTCTAAAAGTCAAAATGACCGGTTGGGTCATTACATTACCGACGGAGTGCATCGGTACAACCAATTAAATTTTGACCGGTCAAAGTATCATTATTTATCGAGAGTTGTCCGTCGGTTATTTTATAAAAAAAAAATAGAAATTAAAAATTTCAAAAGTACCGAGGGACTCCGTTGGAAAGTCCCTCGGAATAGCGACGAAAAAAAGTTTGTCGGTACTGCTGCGTCGGTAAACAACTGTTTCTTAGTAGTGATAACCAGTTTTATCCCACACCGTGGGGTCTGGGGAGGGTAGTATGTACGCAAACCTTATCCTTACCTTGTGAGGATAGAGAAGTTGTTTCCAATAGACCTTCGGCTCAAGAAAGCATAAGCACCAAATTAATGACAATATAGACAAGAAGGGACAGTACCAAAAAGCCATATAAAAGCAGAATAAAAATAACAAGATATTAAGGTAATCAACAATGAAAGAAAACAACATTAGTCATAAAAACCTATTGTCCACAGAAAGTGAGACTGCTTGTCAATACTACTGTTATGAACACTCTAGACTATCTACTACGGTCAAGGAACATAAGAGGCATAAATAGCCCTGAGGAGAGACGTTTACTATAGGTCCATTTCAGGACATGGAAAGCAGACTTTTTATGTTTACAAGAAACTAAATTACAACACTTCCCCCAACAGTTTGTCATTTACCTTGGACCTGGTAGAATAGCAGCTTTTGCAGCACTAGAGACAGAAGGCACTTGGGGGGGGAGGGGGGGGTATTGTGATTATCTGGGACAGGGAATGGCTTTCAGTATTCTATTTGGGGTCCAGCAAACAGGCAAGATGGAGATACTGTGTGGCTTGAGTTATCTGCTGTCAAGAGGCTCTGTGTAGAGCCTAGGGTAATTTGTCGTGACTTCAATGTCACTCGGTTTCCAAGAGAAAGGAGTAACAGAAGGTGCACCAGTCCTATGGAACAATAGCCTAAACTTGGCAATTATTCTCAAGGATGAAGTAGTGAAAAGTGTGAACTAAGTTATTCTCTTTTTTGGACGTGTTAAGTTATTCTTTCTCCTGAGCTATTATTGTTTCAAGCAAAGCAAATTTGACTCTCCCTTTCTTTGATTTATCTGTTGGTCTGAATATAAGCCACATAAAACGATAGAACGGCAACCTAAACTTTTTCAAGCTAGTCCATCTGATCCTATTAGTTGTCGTACTAACTGCTCCACATACTTGCTCAGTTGCAAATTTTAGCACAGTACTCCAGGCGAATCCAACTCTGTTAGCTCAAGTTAATTCAGGAGCACCTCAAGGTTCTGGAGCATTTGGCAATGTTTACAAACTCACTTTGGAACCAGGAAATAAATGGGAACTGTTGCCAGGTGAATATGCCTTCAAAGTGGCTAAAAACGAATCTTGATTTTGTAGTCAAACATCACTGTACAGAGATACCAGAGATCGTGGAGGTATAAGCTAAACATAAAAACATCTACATTAATTTAACAGTATACTTTGTCGTATCTTGTAAAAACCAGTAAAATAAAAGATCTCTAATATACAAATTTCAATTCAACCAAAAGTATGCTAGATTTTGTAGTCAGGAAAAAACTCTACAATACTCAATGTTTGTTTGTTTCATTTGTAGACAAGGTGTTGTATGCCCCTCATGCTCCCTGAGCAATTTTCAAGATGTTTTTATCTTATGACAAGGATAGGTTAAAAAATTCTCTCCAAGCATATATTGTAACCTGAATAAGAATTTCCTACTATCTTTTACTACTTTTGAGAATGTAAAATCTTTTACTATTACACGACCTATATATCTATATATATTTACCAATTCAAGAATTCTTGTTCTTCATAAGGTGGAAAGATCATAGACAAACTTGAAGAACACTATTTAATTGGCAAAAACTGAAGCAATACTTGTACAATCAGTTTCAGACAACCAGCTATAATCAGTAAAGAGATTGTTATCATAATCCAGTTAACGCTTTTCTCTTTTACTGTTACATACTTAAGTATTTCTCTTTCCCCGTTACAAGAACATTCTGATCCTGCCTTACTAACTTTATGTTTTCTCTGTCCTTTCACTTTCTCTAGTGGTAACATTTGGTCACGATGTGTTTTTTATATAAAATTTTAAAAAGAGGGTAAATTGGAACTAAGATAACTTGCAAGGTGAAAAAGAAGAAGAGAAGTTTGTTGAGGTTTTTGTTTTTAAGATGAAATAGTCTTAAAATGAGGGTGAATGGGAAATGGAGGAAAAATAAAATTTTTGAGTAAAATTTTAAGTTTCCCCCTCTTGACAATGAGACATTGTCCCATATTGGAAGAGGAAGAGATTTTTGGTGGGTATATATATAATTGCTCTTCTTGTAGCTCTTAAAGAGTTAAGAAGAAAGCAAGCCTCGCGCCGTCGTCGTCGTCGCTCGGCTCGGCTTCGGCTTTGGCTTCGGCTTCGGATTTGGTCAACGGATATTTTTCAATCCGTATATTGACCATTTGGCAGCCGCCTAATGCTCTTCCCATCATGAATGTGCTTGCTCCACAAACAAGCTAATGCTTGCTCCACCATGGAGGGTGGACGATTGGTCTTTTTCAACACTGGCTGTTATATATATGTGCAGCAGCTGTTAAAGAAAGACACACAACACACAAGGCACAAACGAAAATCGCTCAACAGATTTGGCTATACATTGCACTCCTTCCTCTCAGCATTTCCATACGATTTTCTGAGTTTCTACTCCCTCGTTCTGCATTGTTTTTAACTTCAAACAAAGCAACTATAAGTGTAATTTGCTACCGAACTTTGTGTTCGCTTAAACACTGGGGTTTGAAGTACCGCTATACCAGTGTGTGATTCATTCTATCCTGGGAGGAAATAATTCATTACCTTTGGTACTAGGAGGGGATTAAATTCCTTAAGGAAATACTGTGAATTCAGTGGGCTCGAATTAATTACTGTTTCATTACGTTAACTTATATTTTGCAGAATTATTATTTACAAATACAGCAATATTGGAGGGACTAACAATCTTAAGGAATTTAATATTTATTTCTGTATTTGTATTATTCTTATTATTCTGCAAACTTAAACCTTTGTGGTTTTGTGTGCTCCCGTTTTGGAGAGTAAAAGCCTTCGTGGCGTTTTGTTGGAGATTAAAATCTACGTGATTTTTACTCCAGTTTGAAAACGTGTATTAAATGTTTCTTTGTGTCATTCTTTTACAGAAAAATGATGACTGAAAGCGAAAACCAAGCTATTCCGATGGTGACTGCCAACGCATCGACAAGCCGAACACCGGCGTTGGCACCGGCAGAAAAACCCG